TCAAAAAGATTAATGCTCACTATGAGGCCTTTTCTGTTTTCACAAGTCCTTCTTCATACTAACGCGGTAACGCCGTTGCTCGCCTCGACCTTATCCTGTGGTTTGTTGGTGGATGCAGCTCAAGTTTTATCCGCTAAGGTTGCAATCATCCGCTAGTTTTTAGAAGAAAATAAATACACATAATAAGACCAGTGTTTAATTTAACACTTCTGAAAACATGTTTAATCTATGTATAGTATAAAAAATATACCAAGCAATATTGTCGATGAGATATATGCAGTGAACTCATTTTTTAATACATTATGTTAAAATCTATTCTCAAAATAACGTTTTATCTCTTTTGTCTGATCCGAACAATCTCTAAAACAGTACTTTATATGTAAGCTGGGTTAGCGTCGGTGGATAATTAAAAGCTGAGACTTACATCGGGCTAGGCCGCACCGGCATGGATTTGTGGTTCAAGGCAAAAGCCCAAAATGGCTGACTGAGTACTTGGACGACTAGTCTGATGTTACCCACAAGAAAAGCGCTGAAACACACTCACCCAATAAGAGGTTGGAGGAAAGGGCGTTCAAACCTCAGTCCATTTGTTTTGGGCTTTAAATCCGACGAAAAAGAGAAAGTACGTACGACTTTAGTGACACTTCATCACGGGAAATCACTGTGCAAGAGTATATAGTTTAATTTTTCGTAAAGAAGACTCCATCCCTTCAATTGCAAGGAAATCTCAGGATGACGCGTTTAATTATTAGATGTAATAGGCTATGAAGGTGATAACTACATCTTATCACGTGCTGATTGATTATAAATCAAGGCCACTCTTCCACCAAATGTGTTAAAAAATTATACAGAATCCCAATCTTTGTTTTGCGATAATTAATAATAAGAAATTAAGCTACGTCCCCTTCCTTGTTCGTAGTTCTCTATGGTGCATACTTCTTTTTCAGGGCTACAAAATTATATGCTGGTTTAATGATAGTATGATAAATGTGAAAGTTCAATAAGGTAGATGAATGATTTGATCCCTTCCTCACTTCTAAGAGGAAATCTCGAAAGATGAGAGTATGTATAGACTGGGACCCGGCTGGTCACCTACAATGGTTATGCTTCAAAGAAGTAAAGAAATTAATTATTAGTAGATACCCCCCCCCCCCAAAAAAAAGCAGTTCCCGGAAATGGGGCTATTGCCTCTCGAGTTGAAGCTCTTAAGTTCATTACTTCTGCCTCAAGTTTACATACATACGCTCGCATTTTGACAAGGCTATGGCGCTCTGGTTTTTCAGAGAAGGGTAATTGTATTTTATCGGGTAACAAAACGAGTCCTTTTTTTTTTTTTGGGGGGGGGGGGGTCTGGTTTATTTTCTCTGTCGCCGTCTTCTTCTACTTTTTCTGTATCGGTAGGATGCTATCTAGCACGCACGCAGCAGTTGCGGATGGACAGTTATCCGAGACCTCACTTTATTGCTTCAGCGTTTTTTTTTTTTTCGGAGGCCCCTCCCAGCTTTCGCAAGATGTGTTTATATACTGTCACCAGTTCCTAATACAAGACTTTGTTTAATTTTTATATTGGTTCTAAATATAAAACCCTATCTATTTTTTTTCATATTTATTTATTTCCTTCAAAGTAGTCTTTATAGTAGTTACACATGTTAAATGTTCAATTAAATAATAAATTTAGTTAATATATATGATTACTGAGAATATTCTAAAAAAACAATACTTAACTATTACAAATAAATAACTCAATAATATTCTTTAATGTATTTAAATTAGTTAATTAGTTTTTATGTTAAAGACGGGAAGAAGTATTTGAGTAGAGGTGTTCATTTGCAGCTAGCTATGCAGTAAGAAAGCCCCCGTGCCTCTGCAACAGGAAGACTACAAGAATATATAATAATTTAAGGAAGCTAGCTACGGGCATAGGATTGGGATGTTTGTCGGTAACCTAAAGTAATGTATCCAAAGCTCAGAAAAGGAGGATGATGATCGTTTCGAGCGGATGTAGAGGCGTACGTCGAAATTGTCTATGAGCAGCATATCTCCGCCCCTATACCAAGACAGGTACAAAAACGAAGATATTACTGTTCTCTTGTTCTGTCTGCATATATAGTGATCATCAATTGGACACTCGTGATCGCACAATAAGTCATCGGTTTCAATCAGATGGTGGTCAGAACGGAATGTATGATTTGTTGGATTTAGCCTCTCTATACGTTTGGGAATGTAAGATTTTATGTGTTTGATTAATTTGAAAATTTGAATAGATCAAAAAAATTTATTATATTAATTATTTGTAATAAACAAAGATGTCTTTCTTAAAATATTTTTACTAGTTAAATGTATTAGTTCTGACATTTAATAAAATATTTAAGATGTGCAATGATTGTAATGTCTACTTTGAAAAAAATTAAATATGAAAGAAAAAATCAATTCATGTCTTATATTTAAAATCAAATTAAAAGTGAAACTAGTTCTTATATTAAAGATAAGAGAAAATATTGTACTATTTTCTATTCTAATTATAAGATATTATTTATAATCTATAAATAAGATTTTATAATTAAAATAATAACATGGTTTCATACAGGTAGCTGGGTGGAGGCTAGCTGGAGCACTGATTTGAAGAAAGATGACGGGCATATTTAAAATAGTCAATGCGTACGAAGTAAACGTGGGTGAGATCGGAGAGGATGAAATAGTGGGTCGGGTGGATGCCATTTCACAAGGGGGAGTGCATTTATTCAAGTATTGACTTGGCGCGCAATAAAGCAATGCACAAAAATGACGTCGCCCTTATATATATTCAATTGTGATTTAACTTGCCGGGGAGCTCTGGGACTGGGACTGGGACTGGGACTGGGAGAGGGTCTTATGAGCAATGTAAGAATTCTTAAAATAATATTCTTCCGATCCTTATTATAAGACTCTATTTGACTTTTTATTTGGTCCTAATTATAAGACCTCAATCCATTTTGTCTCTTATATTTATATATTTTTTTCCAAGATAATCCTTCTAATAATGATAGTTTTAGCCAATATACTGAATTAGCAAGGATATTTGAGGAATGACAACACTTATTTATTATAAATAACCAACTTAACTTATTTCCTTAATCTCCTCAAAAAAATTAACTGGGTCTTGTAATTAGGATCGGAGGAGTATGACCTTATCGTGGGGGAAGCTGAGGAGAAGGATGTTTTTTTGAAAAAAATAGCAATCAGGACACCTGGTGCAGTAGGGTCTTGGTTTTAAATTTTGGGGTCCATGTTTTTGGAAGCAGCGTCAGATTATTTTTTTGGGAACACCAGCAGCCCTGTCGTCCTGCCAAGTGGCCAGTTCATAATGTGAGGTCTTGATTATCGCCGTATGTTCCCTTTCAATTGGGAAAAACAATGCTGTATGCAGCTGCGTTATGACCCACGCTGCCACGTAGCTTGCAAATCTACCATACGTCTCTTGACGTGCTGTTTAGTTTGGATTGGAGCCTCCCAGCCCCCCTCAATTATTGTTCATAATTTCAACCTAAAAAAATCAAAGGCAAACAAAAAAAATAAAATAAAATAAAAAGTAATAAAAACGGCAATCGTAGCCAAAAAAAAAAAGAAGGAAGAAGATTGGGTCCAGATTTAAAGTTATAAAAACCGATCACCACACCAGTGATCGACAGATATATAGCAGCAGTTTGACTGTCGGGAGTAATAGAGAGGGAGGGAGGGAGGGAGAGAGAACAAAAATAGGCACCGTCCCACTGTCATGACATTCACATAAATACCATCATGATATGAAGCTCACCACTCATCTGTGCGTGTGGGAGAGAAGTCAGTCCGTCTCACGTGCTGGTTAATAAAAAAATATTTTCTTACAAATATTGCATTAATCAAATACTTACATCAGATGATGTGTTAATTTTTGTCAGCTTCAAGGAGAAGGATTTCCACGCAATCATAGAAGGCATATGTATCAGATATATTGTGTGATTGATCAAATTTATTCATTGTGTGTGTGTGTCTTCCGTGTGCTCAAAAATTTGTTCGCTCCGTCACAGTTATCCGGCAACTTTTAGATAAATCAATTGATCAAGCGTACGTGAATTCTAATGATATGGGTATATGCCTTTAAAGGTCGACCTATTTTATCGGCCTGCACTTCCCTAGGTTTCGTGGGAGTAGTTACGATCTGTCGAATGCTCATTGCTAAATCTACATCCTCTCAAATTATCAATTATTAATTCACGCACTTATTGGAACTTTGGCGGAGTTTTTTTTTTCAAACTTTTCCCTTTACCTCCAACCGAAAATCAGGGTTTTTTTCCTCAATTTATTGTCGTTTTTATCTGAAATGATTTTTTCAAATATATGTTTGTTATTATTTTTCTATTTTCTGTTAGTATAAATGTAGTTAAAATTATATGAATTTACTTAACCAAGAGCAATTCAAAAATGATCCAACCGTTGAATTTTAAATTAATTTCAATGACCTCCAGGTCTGATTTTAATGGTTAATGGGGTACTGAAACAATAAATATAATGATTCACATATCTATATTAATATGTAATATTTTAATTTATAAGCAGACTTTTAACTTATATATCGATCCTCTTTTGCAAATATACTGTACTACGATGTGAGAAGAGGTTCCGTTGAAGCAATCACCGAATCAAATGAACAAACAAGCCGAGGCTTTTTAATTATGTCAGTTCGAGAAGCCGACCGAGTGTCCTTTGCTTGCGCATTAATTTTTTACTCTGTGAAGTTGAGAAGGAAATGAACAGGGAGATAATTAAGAAGATTCTAGGAGACTAAGACAGCCCGGCTTCTCTCTCTAAAATTATTGAATGCATATCCATCCAATAATTATATATATATATATAAATAGTACTCGTGAATATTTTGTTGTCCCCCTATGGTCCATGATTTCCACACATAATAATCCAAACCAAAGCCACGGAGGCCCAGAGAGTTAAGACACTCTCTTCCTTACTGTTTAATGCCTAATCGTGTTTGTTTCCCACCACGCATCCCAGCCCCTTGCAAACAAAAAGAGATTTTCACTTGTCATTTTCCATAATCAATGCTGGAATCAGCCTCCTCTCGACGTGGCCTCAAATTATATATATAGCACATAACAGCACATCGATCGATCACTTGAGTGAGAGGCGAATCCCAGGAAGGAAGACGGAGAAGCAAAAAAATGGGCGTAGATGGCACCCTGGAATACTTGTCTGATTTACTCAGCAGCAGCAAGAAGAAGAAGAAGAAGAAGCAAACACAAACTGTAGCCCTGAAAATCAGAATGGACTGTGAAGGATGCGCTCGCAAGGTCAAGCACGTTCTTTCCGGCGTTAAAGGTATATCATATCTCCTTAAACTAATTAACAGCCGCCGCTTCAGTTTTGAGATATATTCTTCACTTGCAGCCTTGGATCGTACGAGTGTATACATATATGTGTGTGTGTGTGCAGGAGCTAAGTCGGTGGACGTGGACTTGAAGCAACAGAAAGCAACGGTGACGGGATATGTGGAGGCGAAGAAAGTGCTGAAGGCGGCACAGAGCACAAAGAAGAAGGTGGAGCTGTGGCCTTACGTGCCGTACACCGCGGTGGCTAACCCATATGTGGCTCAGGCCTACGATAAGAAAGCCCCTCCGAATATGGTGAGGCGCGTCCCTGACACTGCCACCATTTCTGAGACCACCGTCGACGATCGTTACGTCCAAATCTTCAGTGATGAGAACCCAAATGCTTGCTCCATCATGTAGCTTTACACGTACGTCTGCGTCTGCGTTTCTCTACATCTCTTTCAGCTCTACTATTAAATGAGTTGTGAATTAGGTGTGGCATGTGTATGATGGCTGGGATTTTTGAAGTCATGAGTTTTAGGGATCCAAATAATTTTCCTGCAAACAGCCCAAAAGTCTTTTTCATTAATTAATTAATTAGCCTGTGTATAACCTGTGTTTATTTGCCCCTAAAAAAAAAAAAGGACCTGTGCGTGTTGTTATATATGTCATGAATTTTCGCTCCTCTCTGAAGAGAAGTCCGGCTAATTAGTTAGTTCATTCATGATTCTTTACTCGTTCAATCAATCACGATAAATAAACTAAGAAAGCTACACATATGCATATACATGAGGAGGCGACTGAAACATAAAACAGAAAGATAAAAACTCCAAACAAATAATTCTAATTAATCAGGAGCACTCCAGCGATGGTGGGGACGTCGGCAAATGAATAAATTATCCGGCGATCTTATATATATTTTCCTGTAATTGACCTTCATAATCTGTTACGTGTATGGTACGACATTGAAAGGCATATGGCTATTTGGGAAAATCGTTAAGGACATCCCTCTCGGTTGAGCTGTGACCCTTACCAGAAAATATAATACTAATAATTGACGGGGAGGGAGGGGACCAATTTGGTTGGTTACTTTAATGGTCGAACTCACACTAGAATAAACCAAAAATTAATTCACAATATATAATTAAACAAGCATTGCCTAGTCTCCTCGTTGATTTTCCAACAAATTTAAATTTAAATGTCATCATCTGTGGATTATTCTCAAAATTTCCTTTTAATTCATATTTCCTTTTCACCTGAACTTCTTCGAGGTTCTCGTTAGTGGTGATTTAATTTCCATGATCATGAATATATGACGAACTTAAATATAGGAATACTTTTTATCGGACTCTGACCATGATGACACCTGAGAAGTTTGCCCTGTTTATTAATTAATATTATTCTTTGCAAATGGAAATTAGCATATAGAAGAGAGATATTGTTGTGCATAAGTAGTTATAAGTGAACTTGGTCAATTAGGCACGGTAATTCTCGCGAGGTTGGAGATGGATGAGTTAGCCAGAACAAATAAACTAAAATTTTTATAACCAACTTTTGACTCGTCGCTTGAGTTTTTTCCAACCCTATTAATGGGCCTGAACCCTTCGCGTACTCTGTTCGATTATATTTATAATCAAGTTGAAACCGTGTGTTAAAATGACGGAGATAAGCATGGCGCGTTCTCTATGGATTTTGACCAAATACTAGTTTTCCTATATTCACTTCCCTTCCCACATGCTGCATTTGCATTTCAATACATATAGCTACAGTTTATAATAGCTTCACATGGTATTTTAATGGGTTCGGCAAAACTTTTTCCCACAGCACTGGAACTTTGCTTGGAGTATTTGCATGATTTTTTGCCCTGTTATTTTGGCCAATGATATTACATCAGTATAAAATGTAAAATTTATATATATAGTAAAAGTAATTAAAATTACTCATAAATTATAAACATTATTACAAAATAAGTTGCGTACGTGGACCTGTAAATGCCCATCTCTAGCCTTATATAAATTAAAACTAACAATGAACGGTTCGATTCTTAATGAAAACGATATGTAACGCGTGGTTCTTAAGGTAATTAAGCCGCGAATTTAAACATGATTTTGAAGCCGGGGGTCATTTATATTTAGTTGATTTCAATTTTTAATTAATTAATTACTTGAAATCAGAGTACGCAGGGAGACGTCGGGATATTTAATACATATATATGGTACAGACTTTAGTGTATTATTATAATTGGAGCTGTCAAGTATTAAGTATATTAACATAACAGAGCCATTCAGTTGTAGCAATAACACTTAAATTAACAAAAATAGGAAGCAGAACAAGAAGTAGCTAGTTAGGTAGAGAAGAGATAGAGGGGAAGATTGAAGGAGTAGTAGTGTTTTATTAAAACCAATAATTAAAATTGTGATGAGAGCATTAAGCAGCTGATGAGACTGATTCCTTGAAAAATCCTTCAATCTCTGAGCCTCCATTTTCTCATCTTCCACCCATTTATAACCATCCCCAACTCTCTCTCTCATATCCAACTGTCCCTCCTTTCAAGCTGCGTCATGCATGTCCCTCAACTCCTCATTTATATATTTTCCATTTCTTTAAAAAAGAAGGAGAGAGAGGGTCTTTTCGATTTCCTGCTGCAGATTCTGCAAAATTTCCTAATTAATTTGCATGCACAGAAATGGGTCGCGTTAAATTGGAGATTAAGAGAATAGAGAACACCATAAATCGTCAGGTCACATTCTCCAAGCGCAGAAATGGCCTCATCAAGAAAGCCTACGAGTTATCCATTCTCTGCGACATTGATATTGCCCTCATCATGTTCTCTCCTTCCGAACGTGTCAGTCACTTCTCCGGCAGACGAAGGTTCTTTCTCCTCTGTTTCTTCCCATTTCTTATTCGCCCCATCCCTCTATCTTCATCATTTCCTTCTTCTTCTTCTTCTTCTGCAATCTCTTATTTTTTTAATTATGTTAATTATGCTAAGAACAAGGAACACCCGGAAGCTTTGTGCATTGCATGAAATTTATCTTATACAAGAAAAAACAAGATCAATATATATATATATATATATATATATATATATAGCAACGGGCACCAGTGTGTTGATGTTAATCATTTTCTTTGGAGACAAAATCTTCTCTGAAAAACCATTTCACCTCTTTGAGCTCCATCCTGCTGATTATTTCTCATGGAATACCTGTATCATTAGCATTGGCCAAATTTTATTTTTTTAAAAATAACCCAAAATGCGATAATTGTTCTTAACTTACAAGTAGCTAGAAATCCGAGTGAACTCCGATCCTACGGAATAGGATCTTGAGTGTTGACTCACATGTGATGATGAAAACCTTTGCCATGAATTCGAAAGTCGTGGCACTTACAATTTTAAATTCATCTACGAATTGTAATAATAATGTTAATCCTTTTTTTCCCCATAATGTTATTACTATGTCGATAGTTTCTTGTTATGCAGTATTTACCCCAATCATAATAGGATAAGAAATTGGTTTGCGAACTTTTAAAAAATATTAACTATCAAATCGTTCATTCATTTTTTCTGAACCAAAAAAAAAAATCTCTCAGCAAATTCTTACTGAGTTTTGAACTTTAAAATTATTAAATTTTTGAAAATGTAAAATATTTTAGCGCTAACAAGCAATTGAACTAGGAAAAATTATTATTCTACTGCTTGTTTATGTAGAACCGAAATAATTTGATAGCCTAAATTGTGGGACGGTGACCGCTATTCTTCTTCCCTTTTTTTTTTTTTTGTTTCTACGTCAGTCTTAAAAAAAGAATGTAACACTGAATGATAAATGCTATCATCGTTTTATGATGCTTCATGTTGGGTATTTTGCTCCAGTATTTACAAAAAATTTATTTTATTAATATTTTTGGTCATCACCAGAATTGAAGATGTATTCGCACGTTACATCAACCTACCAGATCAAGAAAGAGATGGGTATGTTTGTTTCTTTTTTTTTTTTTTTCCCTCTCCCCTTTTGAATAAAATACGTTTGTTCTTATTGTGCATATCAATATTTGGTATTGCCGGTGGGGTACTCCTCCATACATTCTGGCTTTTTAATCTGATTATTTAATAGTGTTGGGTTCCTTGCAGCGCTATAACTTTTCCAGAGCAACCCTACCGCAGGTATATTCTAACCCACTCTCTTGTTTAATTGTAGTCTTTGATTTTAAAAAAAATAAATCAAATTAAGTTAATGGCATGTCATCTTATATGCATTATTTGTATACTTAATTTGAATGCATTTTTACTGCTTTTTTAACAGACACCCGTGGCCTATCATGATCATGTTTTAGTTAGTTAAGTACCTCACATTTCCCCGTCTCAAATGTATGCAGGAGTCTTCAGAACAAAGAGGTACTGCCATGCATATATTGTGCAATAACCACATGATCAACGGGTGTTTGCCGAGCAGTTGAGGGATAGTCAAAGGAGTTAGAGAATGATATTAAGGTTTTGCATCTCAATATACAATTTGAAAATGTTTGTGCATTTTGCAGCATCTGCTGAGGACCCTAGAACAACTGAAAAGTGAGAATGACATAGCTCTTCAGCTGGCCAAGTTCGTTATCTCCTCTTGTCACCAATAAATAATTAAACTAAACTTTCAAATCTCTCTCTCTCTCTCTCTCTCTGATTTAATTCCCCGGTAAAATCATTATGGTCAATGTCTAATGGTGCCAAATCTTTGTTGCCTCTCTGCGATTGCAATTTGATCGAATGCTGCATGCACCATAGTCCGGGAGACATCAACTCGGAGATCGAAGTAAGAAAAGATAGCGATTCAGTGTATGTTGGTATTTATTATTTTGTTCTGTTGGTGGTGAATGAATGAGAGCTGTTTTATGTGATTCAGGAGCTGCAGCAGGAAGTGAGTGGGTTACAGCAACAGCTTCAAATGGCGGAAGAACAGCTACGGTTGGTTGAGTTTTGAGTTTTTACGTTCAATTATTGTAGGAGATCGACATATAACTGGGAATGAAATGGGGACATACAGGATATTTGAACCGGAGTTGTCGAAGATGACATCAGCGGGGGAGCTGGAATCCAGCGAGAAGCATCTGATGGAGACGCTGGCGCGAGTAATGCAGAGGAAGGTACGAATATATATATACATACGAATGTATGATACATGGGTGTGAGGAAGAAGGGGCATTATTAATTATTAATGTGATGCAAATATATATGGATGGGGTGCAGGAATATCTGATGAGCAACCACGTGTCGCTGGAGACGTCGCTGGAGAATGTGGGATGGTTGGGGGAGGCGGCCGACAACCATTCCCATATATTTGACGCTTCCGTGCCTCTGGATCCACTGTCGTCCACCGTGTACGACGCTTTCTCGCAGGGAGGCTCCACATCCAACGGAACCGCCGATCCAAATCTGCAGGCCTGGCCTCAAGGCTACACTTTATATCCCTCCATCCAGGTACGTACGTCACTCGTCGGCCCTCCATGCATGCTTCCTCTTTTGGTTCTGATGATGATGATGTACGCATTTGGTGGGCATGGTAGCAGCAGGAGATGCAGGATATGATGCCGCCTCATGCGCAGCTCAACAATCTGCCCACCATCCCCGCCGACTTTGATTCCAAACCTCCCCAGTGACCCTCCTCCCTGTTCCC